TTAAATACAATGCTTAATTAGCTCATGCATAGTGCAAAATCTTAGCTCCTCATTGGTCTAGATGTGCTGCTTAGCTAAGCACTTCGGCATTCATGTGGTTAACAGAGCTCCTTTTGTTCCTCATCTGCATCCTGTATTTCTCAAGTCTACATGCCTTCCTCTTATCAGGGACACTGCGTCCTTGAGGCTGAGGCCTATTCTGCTAGCCTTACTAAGTTGATCTGGCTATGGCCTTTCTCTTCTAGCCATTCCTGCACCAGGCTCTCTACAGTTCCCCCGTTTTCTTTTTGAGCTAGAAGAGTGGCATGCCAAGCTTTGTTAACTGTCTTTTGTATAAAGTTCTGCAAGCAGGTTATTAAGCAGGGTAACACTAAGGCCAAGCATAAGAATATCCCTAAAATCATTATAGCATACTTAATGATGGTCCGAATCCATCCTCCAAGACCTAGGCCTTTTAACCATTCATCTATGCCCCAGCCATCTTCCTCTTTTAGGTCGTGTAGCTTTTGTTGCATGTCTCGTATCTTTTTGTGGATGGACTCAGAGTGATCAGACAAATTCATGCAGCACATTCCCTCGAACTCCTCACACCCATGCCCCTGGGCTAGGAGTAAAAAGTCAATGGCCGCTCTGTTCTGTAATACTGCGTGATTCACGCTTGAGACGTCTTTGGCCATCATGTCTAACACTTGGGAGGTGGTGTTGAGTTCATCTTTTGCCCAGCACCCTAATTGCTTGGCCAGGTTCATAGCCTTCATGGCTGCTGCCCCAGCGAAGATGGTGCCAATTACTACTTGTTTGAATTCACTCCAAAACTGTGGTGACCCTATGCTGGTGCAATCGAGGTCATGTAGGCTACGCTTCCCTCTGCTTGTTTTGTTCGTGAGCTGCATGAGGGTGGTTACATTGGGGTGAAACATGTTTAGTTTCCCTAGGTAGCAAGGTCCTCCTTGTGGCTTCACGGGGATGCCATTCCAAGCACGATCCCCACAAATTAAAAATATACCTGGGGGCAATGCTTTGGCCTCGGTGATGCTACTACTGTTGCAATTGGAGTAAAGTTGCTGAAAAATTTGGCCCGAATCAAGGGCGGAGTCAAGGGTCGCCCAGTACTTACGGTTCCTGTTAAAATCTTCATGCCTTAGTGGTAGGAAACTAAACCATCCCCCTGTCTCTTTTCCAATAGTGGTGCTAGTGCTCCCGAAGAGGTCAAGCTCTTCCGGAGGAGAAGCTAGAGTTTGGTTTAGGGCCAAGACAATTTTGCATTGCCAACACCCATCGTGCTGTTCGCGTGTGCTACCAGTTACGGCACAGCCCTGTGTTAGGTTGGCATCGGTCAATGTAGTCAGACTGTCATTGCTTACATATCCCTTAAACTCGCCTGGTTTCCATACTGGTAATCCGACTAGGCAGGTTCTAAAAGGGTTTTGTACTCCCCCTAGACTTAAGCAGATTGATTCTTGCTTTGTTATGTTAGCGAATGTTACCCACACATTCTCCCGAGGCGCGTGCTGTGGCGGGGGAGCTTGTGCATAAGCAAGGTGAGCGAGCGTAAGCAGTATAGCAAGCATCTCTATTTTGATTTCTTTGGTGGTCTATTCTTTTTGCGCCCTGTATTACCTTTTGTTATCTGCAACTGCTTTACCTTCGCTATACTTTGCTCTAATACTTCCTCCGGGTCCGCATCGGGTTTGAATGGCCCTATTCGGGTCCAGGGCAGGTGCGGCACCTTGTATCTGCACCGTGCAGCGATGATATTTGAATTTGCAGTGATGTACTGCCTTCGAATCCAATTCTTAAGTTCCCACCGGGCCCAAGCTAACAGGAGCTGTTCTGGCGTCTCGTATAGGCTCCGAAGCTGTGCGTATGGCACTCCTGCTTCTTCCTCTAGTGCCAGGCCCCAATCTGAGTGTCTTAGGTCTTCACCTTGGCACTTTCGACACCACAATCTAAACACCGTTCTCTGTTCCACCCACGAGCAGTCCCCACAGCCCCCGCACTTCAGAGCTACCCAGGCTTCACACCACGGCCCCCCACACGCACAACAAGGACGGCTGCTGAGAGGCTGTTCTTCCTGGTGGGCGTGGCTCTCAATCCAATCAGCCCAATTCGGTGGCGACTGCTTTAGTGCCTCACGGGCAGCGCTGTTATAGCGTCCCAACTTCTGTAAATAGGGCCGTATGGTCACCGTCAACCTCTGCTGGATCCGCTCCTGGTCGACTGGAGCCAGCTGCCTCCTCAGGAATCTTTCCACCAGTTCGGTCATCTAAAACGGGCTTTACCCACCTAGCAGGGACCCAAAGTGTTCCTGTGGGGGTAGAAACACAGACATAACCCCTGCCCCAGTATATCACCTCAGC